CAGGATGGAATTTATTTCAAATGAACATTAAGTGACTTAAAGTTGAGACGATATTGAAAATGACTTTAGCAATAATTTAAATCACACAAAATTTGGATGCTCTTTTCTTGTAGGATCTCACCATCTCGTGCCCAGCGCTCCGCCCTCTTTCCTGATGTCCTCCAGCGTCCCCCCGTCCACCCACGCTGTTGATTTGGGGGGCAGAGGCCTCGGGCGCGCCCCCCCCCCGGCCCGGCCTGGGCCGAGCTCTGGCGCTCCTGCTGGTACTTGAGCATCTCGGGGTTCTCGATGATGGTGGTGGAGAGCTGAGCCTCGGTGCTGGTGATGCCCAGACTCTTCCCGTAGATGTTCTGGTGGATGCTGTTCTGTAGGTCGCGTGTGGGGGGGGGGGGGGGGGATAGATAGTATCATACAATAAACCCTCATGTCTGGCAGAAGATTTATTTGTTCTGAGGAACTCAGGAAACACTTTAAGGCCACAAAGAGAAGAGGATGAGGAGGGTCTGACCTTCTCCTCCTCGTTCAGAGGGTCTCCCAGCTCGTCCAGAGAGAAGTCCAGGTAGGCCACCGTGCCGTCCATCGAACACACCAACATGCCCAGACCCGTCAGAGTCCTGACACACACACACACACACACGATGTGACATCTAAACGACTCTTCTTCATCTCAACGTTTAGTCTTCACCCGACCGGACTCACCAGGAAATGTCCATGATGGATTTGTCGAACAGGTCGTGGATGACCACCAGGGGGCGTTTCAGGGAGGTCAGCTGGAGGAAATAAAAACACAGTTCAGCATTTAGAAGTTACAAGTAAAATTGTCGAGCGGACGAACAGCGAGAGCTGCGGCGTCCTGCCGGGCGTTGGACCGCGGCGCGGCGGACTCACCCAGACGGAGAGCGAGCGGTCCTTGCTGCCGACGGCGCAGCAGCAGTACGGGCAGCCGGGTTTGGGGGCGCTGCCGTTCTTCTGCTTCTTCTTGAAGATCTTTGGGTTGAATTTCTATGGAGAGAAAGAGAACCAGCTCCCGTCAAACGTCCCGGCTGAGACCTCGTCGTCCCCAAAGACAGAGACCCTGTCCTCACCACCACGGTCACGGCCTTGCGGTGTCCCACAAAGTCCATGTTGGTCTTCCAGCCGTCCCGCTCCACGATCTGGGCGGTGGGCCCCGAGTTGTTCATGGCGTGGGCCGACACCAGGTACTGCCCGTCAGGGGACCAGGACAGACGCAGGACGTGGGTCGTCCCCCCGCACTGGGACAAGGAGTCAAAAAGCCTCATTTAGGAGAGCAGGTCAGCATTAAAAGGACAAACGGTCTCTGTGGACATAGAGGGGGTCTGGTGCACCTCGTTGAAGGGTTTGGTGATGTTGGACTCCATCTGCCAGTCCACCGTCCTCCACACTCGCAGGCTGTGGTCGTCCGCCTGCGAGGCGACGTACTTCCCCACCGGGTCCCACGTCAGACCTTTGACCAGCCCCGTGTGTCCCCGCAGACAGGTCACCATCTCTGGAGACGGGGACGGAGACGCGGATCAGAGACACATGCTCCACATACGCGTTAGAAGTACTTTAGCTTCTTCAGCAAACGGAATCGTCGTCACGCGAGAACGTTCGGAAGGAACCACCGCGTCTGTTTGACGAGTCCTCGCTCGGCCCATCGTGTCCAGCTGTGAGGCTCCAGATGTTGTGACTCTCCCTGCGTCTCCTACCTGGAAACTTGCGGGCGTTCCAGATGACGATGGTGTTGTCCACGCTGCAGGAGGCCAGCCACACGTCATGAGGGGACCAGGCCACGTCCATCACATCTACACACACACAATCATGACGAAGTACAGAGAACGTTATATTCACAGCTGCATATTTCTCAGAATTAAATGTTATTTACAGAACCTGTTTAGAGCAAACAATGTATTAATGGCAATATATTAAATGAGAGCAGTAGAATAAAGTGGTTTTATTGAGTACAATTTAAAGCTTTTTTTCAAATGACATATTGAAAGGAC